AATAAAAAATAGTATTTTGATTTTTTTTCAAAAGCATGAAATCATGGAAAATAAATCTACAATGCGAGGTAGTATCTAGACGGACCAATAGGAATAGGACAATTAGGCTGAAAAGTTTCTAACGAGAGAAAAAAAAATTTAGTATTATAATTATGTAATCCTCGAAGAATTCGCTCGGTGCAACGATGGTACTAAAAATGCGCTCAAAATCCTCGCTTTCAAATAAAGTGATATGTTATTCTACCTAGCTTTGTTTATCACTCTTCAACACCATTAAATCATAATCTCAACTACCTTTATTATTTCTCTCTCCTATTGAGATTCTGATTTAATAGTATTAGTGAGGAGAAAAATTTAAGGCTGCGCATGACAACCATTCTAATTCCTGGCACTGTTTCTGAAAAAAATGATTCTTTTCTATTTCTGTGCCTTGGAAGAGTTCTGAGAATCAGAATTACGTTTGTTAACATATTTTATGTTGTAATCTTTTTCAAAGCTTTGGGCCTAAGAGATTTATGTGTAATCTTTGAAGAGCCCTAACCCCAATTTCAAAAATCCCAAAATTTCACCAAATTCTGATCGCAAGAGAGAGAGAGAGGAAAGGAGACCAAGAACTTCTGTGGTGAAAGGAGGGGTGGTGGTCCAGTGATATGTGGTTGAAGGCCAGTGACGGTTCAGTGTTGGTATGTGAGCTCGAAGGAAGTCGTGAGAGTGTAAGAGAAAACTGATTCTCTTTTTGTGTCCAGAAATAGAAAAGCAGAAATTTTTTGATTCTCTTTTTTGTTCCCCAGCATAAAAAAAAAAAGACAAGTTCATCCCGGGAATAAAAAAATAAACCGATTTTATCAAACACAATTCTCATCCATTGTTGTTCCAGGGAACAGAAATTAAAAAAAAAAAAATTCATTCCAGGAAGGTTGTCATGCACACCCTAAGCGCTCCGGGAGCACTTTTCATTGGATGGGGCGGAGGAGAGAGAGGAAAAGAACAGAGGAGAAAGGGAGCGAAAAATCCATGTGTCACTCCCTTAATGGGAGTGTTATGGACCCGCATAAGGGGTCCATTGAATGGCAGACCCAATAATGAACAATCCAAGATCTGAATCAATTATAATTACGGATAGTATCCATTAATGATACTAATCCTAATGCGACAGCATAGCAAACAGGCTTGGGCCCTTATCAGAGGCACCAAAGGCCCATATCATACTACCCACAAGTAACCTCTATAAATACAAGGTAAACCCTAAAGGTACGTTACGCTCTTTCTCTTACGGTTATGCTGTCACTGTGCACACACACACCCGTTTGGCTAACGTCGTTATTAGTTCGTTGTGCACAATGATCTGCTTGACTCAAGAATATCTCTTTTACAGATACCTTGGAGAGGGCACTAGATCCAAGATTAACATACCAGACCATTGGGCTGAACATCTCTGTCACTAAGACAGAACAGGGAGGACCACCAAAGTCCCGATGCACAGAAAATTTTTCCGTTGGAGAGTGATAGGCAATGATAGGTAGAAAAAAAATATACGTAAAATAACTTATCCTCCAATATAATACCTTTTTGGATTTCTTTCTAACTTATTTTTTTTATCAAAAGTTGTATTCAAACATACACATAAAATAAAATATAATAACCCTCACATGTAGTTGTGAATTTAATTATGAACTAATGATTTTAATCATGATATTGAAGAATAATTATAAGAAAAGTAGAAGAAAAAGAAATAAAGTCACCTTTGGTGAAAAATGAGTTAAAATGACAGTTAAAAGGTAAAAATATGGGTAGGCAAAATTACTCAAAAGGTAAAAGTAAAAATAGAAACAAGACTAGAAAAATATTCTAGTCCATTGGGTAAAGTTTGGTAATGAATAGATGTGACTAAATAGGTAAGCCTTTACCCAGTTGAATTTCACTTAATCTATGTAAGTGAAAATTTTCAAAAGCCTTACTGTTCCCCTTCGTCTTCCGCATATCGGACTCGACAGTAAGGGAAAAGAAAAAAAAAATGGAGATTTTGATTTAAAATATTTTAAAATTCATAACTTGAGCTAGAGACCTCCAAATCACTATGTTCCAAAGCTAAACTTGTGAGAAATTTCGAGAGGAATCCATTGGTACCAGTATTTTTGGGTGGAGTTCACTGTAGAGAGAATTTTTTCTCCCCTAAGATTTTGAATTTCATGGAAAAGATGGGTTTTTATGGAGTTTGAAGCCATGAGAGCTTAGAACCTCATCTCTCCTTTGTTCTAGAGTGCATTGTGGTAAGAAATTCCTTTCCTTTTCATATTTTTATGAATATTGAATTTAGATTTTCATTTTGAAAATTTGGCTTGATTGAGCATGTTAGAGTTTGATTGAGGCTTAGCTCTTGTTGAAAAAAGTGTTTAGATGAGGATTTTAACGGTGAAAATGTGTTCGAAAAAATTAAAGATATCATATTTTTGAATAGTGTCGTATATGTAAATAGTGACGTATACATGAATAGTACTATAGAGATGAATAGTACCATATTTATGCATTGATGATGGATAATAATGAGAATGTGTTCCTTGGTTATAATGTGAGACCAAGTGGACTTGTGGAACAAGAGCATGGACATTGAGCAAGGCTTTTGATTACTTGAGATTGAGGTAAGTATCAAACAATAGTTTGATGTTAAATTTATATGAAATGGATATATGTTTAATTGTGATAAATTCACCATGGATAGGTGTGTTGGTCATTTGTTGAGCATTTTGTTGTCTTGTGGACCCTTTGACTTGGAAGAGGCTAGAAAAATAGCTATTCACGATAAGCTTTCGATCCTTGGGGTTAATCCCCCGTTTGTTCCACAGACTCCGAGGGAGGATGGTAGTTTGATATGGAATGTTGAAAATTATTAGTTATATGTTGCATGTATATGTATGTATGTTTGTTTGCCACACAAGACGATGTTTTCTTGTGTGAGGCATAAGACGGTGTTTCCTTATGCATAGTATGAGACGATGTTTCCTCATACGGTATGTTGCAAGATGGTATTTTCTTGCATAATGCATACTTGTTATATTCTCAGGCCAATAGGATTACATTATTGCACACTGTATTGTCATACATATTTTGATGCATGCATGGATTTTTATATTGTTTATACCAGAAGTGAGCTTAGGGGTGGAGGAGCCCTCTAAGGGTCCCTAGCTTACTGAGGTAATTATATTATCTCACCCCGCGTTATGCGGATTACCATTTCAGGTACAGGAGCTGATGGTGTTGAGGCATTGCGTGGCAAGAGGCCAGATAAGAGATACACTACTTGACATGATTGTCAGGGTCTTGCGGATATTTAGATTTGTACCTGATATACTTTATTTTGAGTTGTATATGCCATGTATTTTTTTGAGAGCTTAGGAGATGTCTATACCAGGTTGATAGTCTGTATATGTTGTTAGTGATGCATGCTCAGGTCTATGTTACTTATTTAATTGCATCTCTTTTGTTTATTTGATGTAATTATATAAGTAACATCATGGACATTATTTTGAGATAGTATGATCATGAGATAGCCTAGGCCATGGATGGCTGGGCAATATGTTTTATCTATGCTTTGGTATGCCTGAATTATGTTAAACTGTCAATCAGGTTGAAATTATCATGATGAGAATTATCCCTAGTGGTCCAAAATACAAACGAAATGTTGTCCGTTTTATTTTGACAATGGAAATGAAAAAGTTTGCAATACATAAAAAAATAAAATAAATTATTCAGTTAAGTTGAACATATTGCGCTTACTATCGTATGAATGTTAATTAACCGGCGATAGACGGGACGTTACATAAGCATTAATTTTTAGTTTATATAAAAAAAACAGCTTTTTAGAGAAGAAAAAATCATTCAAACTGACACTTAATCCACTTTCCAAGTTTAATCATTAATGCCGTCTCTAGCCTAATCTGGAGTTGAAGAATTTATTGCAAAGTTCATTCTCCCACACTCTTTCAATGTCGAGCATAACACTCTTTCAAGTACGTCCTACACCTAGCATGCATCTTGGACATAGCACTCTTTTAATGTTACTTGATTTAATTAACAATAACTATACTGGCGTTGAGCCTTTGACGCCATGTACATGGATTTAATTAATCACATACAATAGATGCTTAAGGAAATTACAATTTTCTAATCTCAGTCTCAAAGTCTTTAATTTATAATACGAAGGGCCTACCCTACCTAGAGTAAGAATGAAGCATAAAATGATGAGACATGAAGGCCATACATAACAGTACAGCGGACTAGTGACTGAAAGGTGCACAAAGTATATAATTAAGTGTTTGTTTATTTTGCTATTAGAGTCACATTTCCTTTGGTAATTGATGTGTTTGGTTAATTTTTTAAAATTATTTTTCACAAACTTTTAGGTTGTAAAAATAATTTTGTAACAAGTGAATATTTTTTTCCTTTTTTATTGAATTAAATTAACAATTAACATAGAATTAATAAAAAATTTAGAAATACACTTATAGTTACATTTTAAAAGCAATTTTTTATTATTATCTAAATATGAAAAAATCTTCTGAGATAATTTTTAAAATTATATTTTCAAATACAAATTAATTATTTATATATTAAATTTTTTAAATTAATTTTTTAATATCAACATTTTGAAAACTAGGTATGCAAAAATCTTTAGTAAATAGACCTGAAATATATTCAGTGAAAGCCATTTTTTTCAGCAAAAGTTTATTCAGTTCGCATATGGCTCATGACTTTTATGACATGTCAATCTCACGTCAATAATTTAAAGTTAAACGTGACAAAATAACAAGAGGGAGGTAAATAAATGACAAAAAGTACAAAACAAAATGTGGTGACGTTTTTTTATTATTTTTAGATTTCTTTGTTAGTTAGCTCATGCAATTGGACAATATATTAATGTACAACTTTAGGTAGAGGTAGTCAAAATTGTAAAATCTGACTCCCTCCTTAACTATATAAAATGTTCATGAGAGGTTTCAAACTTCACATGATTCACCAGCACCATGGCAGTGGTAGAAGAAAAAGGCCCTGCAAGTGGGAGAGAAGATTACACTCAAGATGGCACAGTGGACCTAAAAGGTAGACCCGTTTCAAGATCAAATACTGGAAGATGGAGAGCATGTTCCTTCATAGTAGGTAAATGCAGCCATTTGGGGCCTTAGTGCCATTATGATACTTTTTTCAATTTGACCCTTTCTTGGATGGGTTTCATTTTTCTCATCTTAATGGAACAAAGTTATCTGATGCAAAAAATAAAATTAATTATGTATTACGAATAATATATAGTTATAATAATAAAAAAATAAAAATTCTGTCATATCAGTCGACAATGTCTCAATGTCTGAAGAGAAAGGAAAACAAAGTAATTTTAATATTATAACTATATACTACCCATAGTATATAGTTATTTTTTTTATTTTATTTTTTGCATGAGATAATATTTTTCCCAGAGAAGGAAATCTGATTTTGGATACCTCAAATGCTTAATTTATTTTTCCTTCATATTATTTTCAGGGATTACCTACTTACCCTTTATCACAGTGAATTGACAATAATTTATTGTTTGTTAATTATATTTAATATTTGACAATTTACTTGAGCATAGTAACCTTATATTTATGATAACAGAACTGATTAATGTCACTTCTGAATATGATAAATGCACGTGTTTACATACAGGTTATGAAATGATTGAGAGGATGTCATACTATGGGGTAGCATCAAACCTAGTGCTGTATCTAACAAAGAAGCTTCATGAAGGCACTGTGAAATCTTCAAACAACGTTACCAACTGGGTGGGTACAGTATGGATAATGCCAGCTGCAGGAGCTTACATAGCCGATGCCTATCTTGGTCGATATTGGACCTTTGTAATATCTTCAGCCATTTACCTTTTGGTATGAAATGTGATGTTAGTTTTATTTTATTTTCACCATTTCAATATTACTTGTTTATGCATATTGGTCAACTCCACTAAATTGTGATTATGCATGTTTCTATCTTTTATGGGTTTAATGTTTCTCCACTTATCCATGTATAAAAGTACGTAAGACTCTCTCTTTTTTTTCTTTATATGGTCCCATATACTTTTTATGTGTGTAGGAGATAAATTTATCTGTTACAATATGAGAAACATTAAACTTATTTTTTATATTAATAAACCATAACTAGGACATGCCCTTGTTTTCTTTAACTGTAGGGAATGTGTTTGTTGACTCTAGCAGTGTCACTACCAGCACTGAGACCACCACCATGTGCTCAAGGTGTAGAAGACAAGGATTGCCAACGAGCATCCTCATTGCAAGTGGGTATTTTCTTCTTTGCCTTATACATCATTGCAGCAGGGACAGGGGGAACCAAGCCCAACATTTCTACAATGGGAGCAGACCAATTTGATGAGTTTGAGCCCAAAGAGAGGTCCCAAAAGCTTTCCTTCTACAATTGGTGGGTGTTTTATATTCTAATTGGTACCATCTTTGCCCAAACTGTGTTGGTTTATATACAAGACAATGTGGGTTTTGGCCTTGGATATGGGATTCCAACCATTGGGCTTGCTGTTTCAATATTGGTGTTTCTGTTAGGAACTCCACTTTATAGGCATAGGTTGCCCTTAGGTAGCCCTTTAACTAGGATGGCTCAGGTCTTTGTGGCTGCTATGAGGAAGTGGAAGGTACATGTCCCATACGATCCAAAAGAGCTACATGAACTAAGCACAGAAGAGTATACAATTAAAGGGAGAAACAGAATTTACCACAGCTCTTCAATAAGGTTACTAATCTAATTACTTTTTAGTTTTTACCATTTCAAATTTCACATCAACTCGATAATTTTGTGTTTATATCTCTTTTCCTAGACATTTAACACAATCCTATAAAAATTGTGAATATTTACAAAGAAATAGATAGACTTTAAATTTTTCAAAGAGAAATTGTTAATATACTAAAGGCTCCTCAATTTATGAGAGTAGGAGTGAGAATAAATTCTTCGTAATTTCTACTCAATTTTGACCTTATATTTTTTGCAAAAAAATCTTTTCCAAACTCAAACATATAATCTATTCATTTCATAAGTAGCAACCATACTATTCTGGATGGCCCATTTCTATACAGTCCAATGACTTGAGCCCAAGCCTTCTCCCTCCCTCCACGTCAACCCTACCAACCCTCCATACATTCTGCCCTCAAGGCGACTGCACCCCCTAGGTGAGACACCAAAATGTCTCACCTTGGGATTCTAATCTCCTGGGAGACCGTCCCAGACACCATAAATAGTAACCCCCAACGTCATACACTGACATTGCCGAAGCAGGGGCTATATCACTGCTATTATAGCAGTGTCAGCCTCCCTTAGCTGATCCCAAGGAGGGTTGATCCCCACTCACCAACTCATGCAGAGCAGATGTCTCATCTCCCTATAAATACCTCCCCCATTTAGAAGAAGAGGCATCTTATGTATCGTTACTCTGCTCGTAATCCTTGAGTTACACACATACACATACCCCCCATTGTTACCTGTTAGCATTCATACTTGGGATAGTGCTTCCTAGCTTGGTCTCTACTTGTTCTAGACATACATTGACTCTTATCCCTGAAGGAAACATAATGGACTTATAGATCCCAACGGTACACATATCATTACTATAAACCTCCAAATTTTATTTTAACATATGAGAATTATTCACTTTTTCCATGTCACAAAAATTTGGTATGGATCATCTGCAAAAATATTCCATCAACAATATTCTTATAACCTTGACAAATGCTTGCAGCTTCCTAGACAAAGCTGCAATAAAGACCGATCAAACTTCACCATGGAAGCTTTGTACGGTGACTCAAGTTGAGGAAACCAAGCAAATGACAAAAATGATTCCTATTTTAATGACTACATGTATTCCAAGCACCATGATAGCTCAAACCAGCACACTCTTCATCAGACAAGGCACCACTCTAGACAGGAGTATGGGACCCCATTTTGAAATCCCTCCTGCATGTCTTACAGCATTTATAAACATCTTCATGCTGATAAGTGTTGTAATCTATGACCGTTTTTTTGTTCCTTGGATCCGACGTTACACAAAGAACCCCAGAGGGATCTCATTGCTGCAGAGACTTGGAGTTGGCCTTGTGCTTCACGTCATTATAATGATTACTGCATGCTTTGCTGAAAGAAAGAGACTCTGTGTTGCAAGAGAAAACAACCTCTTAGGCCTGCATGATACTCTTCCTCTGACTATTTTCATCCTCCTCCCTCAGTTTGCTTTGACAGGGATTGCTGATACCTTTGTTGATGTTGCTAAGCTAGAGTTCTTCTATGATCAAGCACCTGAAACCATGAAAAGTCTTGGAACATCTTATTTCACAACCACCTTGAGCATTGGAAGTTTTTTCAGTACTTTTCTTCTATCAAGTGTTGCTGATCTCACTCGTAGACATGGTCATAAGGGTTGGATTTTGGATAATCTAAACGTCTCCCACTTGGATTATTATTATGCATTCATGGCTGTACTAAGCTTGATCAACTTCCTTTGCTTTTTGGTTGCTGCAAAGTTCTTTGTCTATAATGTTGACGCAACACAAAACAAATCAGGCTTGGAGGTGAACCCTGCTTCATCCCAGGACAATAATGGAATAAGCCAAAGCACCCCACAACTAGATGCCAAGTGCTAGGGAAAACAGCTTCTATGTTCTTGCTATATAAGACTCTTGAGAATGTAAAGAAAGCAATGATACGAACATGAAGAAAAGTAATTCAGTTTCTTCTCAGTTGCTTTTGAGTATTATTGGTAAAAACCCTTCAGCCATTATATGTCAAAATTAAGGCCAGCATTCTAACCTCAACTATCGTCACCGTACCTAAAATCAATTTAATTAGCTAGCGGAAGTTTTGATATTATATTATGTTAATGTTGTAAAGAATGAAAAGAAAAAATATATATATCTTACATAATTTCATTTATCTTCCAATATAATTTGATTTTTTTCCCGGTCTAATAAGAGGCGCCACGAGTTGCTAAAGTTCAATACTTGAGGCGCCACATAATTCTTTTTTCTTTTAGCTCCAAGCTAAAATGCTAGATTATAAAGTGATAAAAAAACTTTAGGTATTTTTTAATATCAAAATACCCAATAAACTTTACTTCTTCATCTTCTGAACCTGTAAATAGAACTCCAAAATCTACACTTTCAAGTATCAAAATACTCATCTTCTCGCATGAAAATATTTCTCACAAGGAGAATGCATACACCTATATCCTTTGACCACCACTCTTGCTTTGCGTTTGAATGTTGACCAGTCAAAGTTAAACTCTGTTTTGAACACTTATTTGACTCCAATAACTTTGTGGTTGTTTGGTCTTTCAACAAGATGCCATTAATCATCTCCACCGAATATTATGCGTTGCTTTTCTCCAAAAGCCAATTTTATTTGTTGGCCTTGGTTGAACTTGTAGTGCCACAAAGATTAAAAATTAGGAAAAATATTTCTTTAAAATGAGATTGATTCTAAAACAAGCACGTAAAGATAATATTCATCCTTAAATGTTAGTGGGTTAAGATCATCATACACTGTAAATTAAATAAACAAGAGATGCACCCTTCCTCACTTTGAAAACAAACACATTTCAAAAAAATCTTAATTTAAAAATTAGAGGTGTTTCAACCTTCATGATAACATGATATATATGTCTGCTACCTACATGATATGTTATGTTATGTCTGCTATCCACATACACCCTTCTAGAAACTATTACTTCATTTAAGGGAAAACTTCGTAACCCCTATGTAAGTTTCCTAACAATCACTTATTCTCTCTGAAATTTTTAATCTTTTACACTCTTACTTAAAGTTTTTTTATCACTTACCCTCTAACTTGATTTTTCATCCAAAACTAAAATTATCAAAGTTAATTTTTTTAAAAAAATACCAAAACTATCCTTAAAACAAAAAAATATATACATATATGCAAAAGAACACGAAAAGGATCCAATTCACCATAAAGGGTGAGTTATGGTGAAAAAAATAAAAAATACCCAAAATCCAAAATAAGCTTTTACCACATAAAATAACACAAAAAGGATCCAGTTCACCATAAAGGGTGGGTTATGTTGTGCGAGAGTTGATTTTTGGAGGAAAGGAAGGCAAAAGGGTCATAAAAAAATAAACACAAAAAACAGAAATCACAGAACCACAAGCTTCAAACAAAGAGAGATATGCACCCAGATCTATGAAATTCAACACAACAAAGCTTACAAATTTTTCTCCTCCTCCTATTTCAGAGTTGTTTAGTGTTGAGTTTTGTGTTCTCTCTCTTACTCTACAGTAATAAAGAAGAAGGGTACGGCACATTAGATGAAGACAAAGCGACGCAAGTTGTAGCACGGGATATCCTCTACATTATTTTTTTTTTGTTTTATTTTAAATGTAGTTAGGGTATTTTTCAAAAAAATTAACTCTCTTAATTTTATTTTTGGATGAAAAATTAAATTAGGGAATAAGTGATAAAAACTCTTAAGAATATAAATGATTCAAGATTTTGGAAAGGTTTTTTTTTTTTTTTTTTTAAAGTTTTCCCATTCATTGGCAACAACTACAAACCGGAATCTTTATTGAGGTCAAGTGTATATATGGATGTATTCGTATAAAAAAAATGCTTTCGGCATGGACAATTTTCTTTCTTTAGTTTCAAGGCCAAGTTTATATAATACGAAGTGCTTGCTCAAGGTAAGAACGAAGCATGAGATAGAGACACGTGGCCCATAGCATTGCACGTAACTATTGAATTAAAAAGTGAATAAAACATGGGAAAAATGTCTATCATTTAAAATTACACAACTTACATCCTTTCACTCTCACAAAGGTGGGACCCACACCTTTATTTTTTTTTTTGTCAACTCTCTCTCCTCCTTTATCTATCTCTTTCTCTCTCTTAAAATGACACAACTTTACATATAACTTCAATAACAAAAAGCCATTTTAATCAACAGAATTTTTTTTGTGTAAGCTCTTCGCTCAAGACATTTTGCAACATATCACGTCACGTCAACTTCTAAAATCTAATAGCTATGACGATAATTTATAGGTAAACATCACCCAATACTCAAAAAAATAAAGAGACGGGAAATGAGTGAAAAATGACAACAAGTACAAAACAAACCGCGGCGGCGCGGCCGATTCCTTTTGTTTTTTTTTTTGTTCTTTCGGCCTTATGTTTTTTTCTTGTTAGTTGGCTCATGCAAATGGACAATGTATAACTTTAGGTTGGGAAAGCTAAGCTTCTAAAATCAGATTACCCTTCTTGTAACCATATATATAAAGCTCATGAGAAGCTAGAAACCTCGCATGATCAAGTTGTTGTTCTTCTCCAACATCATGTCAGTGGCAGAAGAAAAAGGCCCCGCAGGTGGGAAAGAAGATTACACTCAAGATGGCACTGTGGACTTAAAAGGTAGACCCATTTTAAGATCAAAGACTGGACGATGGAAAGCTTGTTCCTTCATAGTAGGTAAATGAAGCCTTAACTTTGATTTCAGCCTTTTTTTTAATACGCTAATCCTTTCTTTAAAGAATGATTATCACTTGTTTTTTAATATGGATTATGCATGTGTCTGTGTGTGTGTGTAATTTATAGGGTATGAAGCGTTTGAGAGGATGGCTTACTACGGGATAGCATCAAACCTAGTGGTGTATCTAACAACGAAGCTTCATGAGGGCACTGTGAAATCTTCAAACAACGTTACCAACTGGGTGGGTTCAGTGTGGTTGATGCCACTTGCAGGGGCTTACATAGCCGATGCCTATTTTGGTCGATATTGGACCTTTGTAATTGCATCCTTCATTTATCTTTTGGTAAGAAATGTTAGATTTATTTTCATCATTCTAATATTACTTAGTGGTAAAGAAAGATTGGACTTGAAAACATTAAACTTGGATGAACATTGTGCTTTTTTAATATATATATATATATATATATATATATATATATATATATATATGAAAAAATATTTCTACAGCAACTATAGATAAGCTTATCTACAGCTACCTTTTTATAACTATGTTCTCTCGGGAGAATATAGTTATAACACTAAAGTTATTTTTTTTTCTCTCTCCACGTCAGCAGATCAGGTTCTGAAAAGTAAATGAGGAGAGAGAAAAAGAAAGCAACTTTAGTGTTATCACTATGTTCTTCCGAGAAACATAATTATAAAAGGTAGTTGTAGATAAGCTTATCTAAAGTAGCTGCAGAAATGTTTACCTCATATATATATATATATATATGGGGAAGGATATTCTTACGCCGGTGTAACAGTTAGAAGTCTTACACTCAATCTTGACCATTGATCCACTTGTATACAATGGCTCACATTACTAAAAAATTAGAGCTCTTAGATATAAGTGAGATCAACGGACAAGATTAAGAGAGTAACTTACACTGGCGTAAAATGATTCTCACCCTATATATATATATATATATATATATATATATATATATATATATATGGGATAGGATCAACTTACACCGGTGTAAGAATAATAAATCTTACATCAAATCTTAATCGTTGATTTCCGTGCATCCAATGGTTGAGATTTATTGGGAATTAAAAATTAATTAATGAGTGAGACCTAATAAATCTTAACCGTCAGATGTAGAAAATCAATGATTAGGATTTGGTGTAAGATTTATTATTCTTACACCGGTGTAAGATGATCTTGCCCCTATATATATATATATATATATATATGAGTAAATACCCTTTTGGATCCCTAACAAAAAACGCGGTCCCCACTTTAGTCCCTTACAAAAATAAATTAGTCAGTTAGTCTTTAATAAATTCAAAGTGGACCCATTTTAGTCATTTTGAGGGACTAATATGGGTCTTTTTTGAATTTGTGAGGGACCACGATTTTAACTAAATAGGTCCACTTTGAATTTGTTAGGGACTAACTGACTAATTTATTTGTGTAAGGGACTAAAGTGGAGACCGTGTTTTTTGTTAGGGACCAAGAAGGGTATTTACTATATATATATATATATATATATATATATATATATATATATATATATATATATATACGAGGAAGGTTATACTTACAACCTATTTTTATTTACAACTATATCTTAACCGTTGATTTCCGTCACTCAATGGTTATTATTTTCACAATTTAAACATATTAATTAATTATTAATTTGCAATAAATGATAACCGTGATTGACGGAAATCAACGGTTAAGATATAGTTCTAAACAAAAATAGATTGTAAGTATAACCTTTATATATATATATACATATATATATGGGTTTACATTTCTGCAGCTGCTTTACGTACAACAACGACAGGTGTGGGGAATCATATATGTGGTAATATCATTTCTGCAACCACTTTATGTACAGCAACGACAGGTGTATATGATTCCCCACATTTAATGCGTTCATTTTTTGTATGGTTATGATTCTCCATATATATAGCAAGTATTTGACTGTAGCACGTACAACAGCTGCAGAAGTGTAAACCCCTGTATAGTTATGATTTATTATATTGTACTGTCACTGTATATAACATTTTGTACTGTCAGCTAAAAACGATGTCAATTTGTGTGGAATAAAGAAAGTTTGCGTTCAAAATTAATTGTAAGAAATAAAAATATTATATTTATTTTTATTTTTGTATGATTATGATTATCCATACATAATATTTTATAATTATTTTTATCTTTGTATAGTTATCGATGTTACCTGTTTTTTATGATTATAATTTATAAACGGGACATGCCCTTGCTTTCTTTGAGCACAGGGAATGAGTTTGTTGACTCTAGCAGTTTCACTACCAGCACTGAGGCCACCACCATGTGCTCAAGGCGTGGCAGACCAGAGTTGCCCTCGGGCTTCATCGTTCCAAAGGGGTATATTCTTCTTTGCCTTATACATCATTGCAATGGGCACAGGGGGAACCAAGCCCAATATTTCTACTATGGGAGCAGACCAATTTGATGAGTTTGAGCCTAAAGAGAGATCCCATAAGCTTTCCTTCTTCAATTGGTGGTACTTTAGTATTTTCTTTGGTACCCTTTTCTCCAACACTTTCTTGGTTTACATACAAGACAAAAGGAGTTGGACCGTTGGATATGGGATTCCAACCCTTGGGCTTGCTGTTTCAGTATTGGTGTTTCTGCTAGGATCTCCATTTTATAGGCACAAATTGCCTTCTGGTAGCCCTATAACAAGGATCCTTCAGGTATTTGTGGCTGCTGGGAGGAAGCGGAAGGTACATGTCCCAGATGATCCAAAAGAGCTACATGAACTTAACATAGAAGACTATACAAGTAACGGCAGAAACAGAATTGATCGCAGCTCTGCATTAAGGTTAAAGTCATTACTTTTTACTACTTCAAACTTCACAATTTTTCCATGTCACGTATATTTGGCATGAATCATTTCTGTTAGAGAAATATAAAGTCATTAACGTTACCTCACCCAAAAACTTAAGATTTTAGGTTGAATTGATACTTTACATTGTATCAGCACCTCGATGTCACGGATTCGATTCTCACCAATGATGCATCATTCACCGTTCAAGTTCAATTGGCTCTCGTATTAGTGGCGTGGCGTGTTAGAGAAACATAAAGTTATTTTTGAGTTGAATTAGTTCTTTACAAGTTTTTATTTGCATAAACCTCACTCCCTTCTCTGTTTTCAGTTTCCTTGACAAAGCAGCTATTAAGACTGGACAAACTTCATCGTGGATGCTTTCTACAGTGACCCAAGTTGAGGAAACCAAGCAAATGATAAAAATGATACCTATTTTGATTACAACAATTATTCCAAGCACCTTGACAGTTCAAGCGAACACACTCTTCATCAAACAAGGCACCACCCTAGACAGGAGTATGGGACCCCATTTTGATATCCCTCCTGCATGTCTTACAGCATTTATAACTATCTTCTTGCTGTTAAGCGTTGTAATCTATGACCGACTTTTTGTTCCTGCTCTCCGACGCTACACAAAGAACCCCAGAGGGATCACAATGCTGCAGAGAATTGGAATTGGCCTTGTGCTGCACGTGATTCTCATGATCATTGCATGCTTTGCTGAAAGAAAGAGACTCAGTGTTGCAAGAGAAAACAACCTCTTAGGCCAGCATGATACAATTCCACTCACTATTTTCATTCTCCTCCCTCAGTTCGCCTTGGTTGGGATTGCTGAGAGCTACATTGATATTGCCAAGATAGAGTTCTTCTATGATCAAGCACCAAATGGCATGAAAAGTTTGGGAACATCATATTTCACAACCACCTTGGGTCTTGGAAGTTTTTTCAGTAGTTTTCTTCTATCAACTGTTGTTGATATCACCGAGAGACAAGGTCACAAGGGTTGGGTTTTGGATAATCTAAACGTCTCCCATTTAGATTATTATTATGCATTCATGGCTGTACTAAGCTTTATCAACTTCCTTTGCTTTTTGGTTGTTGCCAAGTTGTTTTCCTATAACGTTGATGCAACAGAAAACAAATCGGGCTTGGAGATGATTTCTGCTTCATCTCCAGTAAAGGAATAAGCCAAAGCACTCCACAACCAGATGTCAAGTGCTAAGGAAAACACCACCTCTATTCCGAGCTGCAGAACTATTCTGCTGTGACTCCTTTTCTTAGCTTAGACTTGCCACTTTAGAGCTTAGTTAATGACGAAAGCTGTGTTTAAGAACATTGAATAAATCATGGTGAGTTTCACATCCATGATAAAACATCCCTGCTGAGAAAATTTCCGCCGGTGTTCTTTCTTGCATCCAAACATTAATAAATCAGCAACTACTATTCGGTTACTTCTAAGTACTTCTAGAAACACTTAACCATTATATGCTAAAAATACCAGCTTATTAACCTAAACTATATTCCCCGTGCCTAAAATTCAATTACGTAAGTATGGAATATAATAAAACTAACCACCAGAAACGTAGAATCTGCTCTGAATGGTCTTGAAGTTAAGCAGGACCAAAAATAAATAAAACAAAAAATTGCTAAGAACACACTCTGCAACATACTTCTTATTATTACATAAAATCTTATTTCGATCCCACTAATAAAGGGTAAACCTAGAGTTTCGTAAAACTAGTATGAAATTTTTATCCAATAATAATAACTGTTAATAAAAAGTATTGCTAATATTTCTCAAAAAGTTAATACTTTTGATATTTACTCATTGTAGCCCCTTTTATTATAAGATCTCCTTTCTGGGATATAGCCCCTAGGAGTATCAGTATAAATATACCGACCGCTTCAAGAATCAATGACTATCCCCACATACTAACACGAGACTTTTCAGTGTGCTTTTTCCTCACTCGCGCACTTTCTGGGAAAACTTCCCAGGAGGTCACCCATCCCAGAATTGCTCCAAGTCAAGCACGCTTAACTATAGAGTTCTTCCGTTCTGGGATACCGAAAAGAAGATGCATCTTGTTAGTATAGGTAGTACCAATTAATTCTTATAAGCTATCCCAAACTGTGCAGTCTCATACCTGCACAGTCTTTGGAATCCCTCTCTTTCGGGTGTCGATTCGATTCATTCATGCATGTAACCCCCTGCCGGAAGCCTGTCAAGAGTCGCTCCTTGTTCGTGCCTCTTTGCACCGGCGATCACTCCCTGCCCTCGTCAGCGCTCGGGATGTTACAAGTATAGGTATAGGTTAAGATCTCTTTGCGAGATACAACCCCTGAAGTATAGCCTAGGAGTATGTATGTGTATGAAATTTGTATGGGTATGAAATATATGATGTCTTCTACGCTATGCTATCTGACATTTATGCAGGAAGCGAACTCATAGGTGGAGACTACTCCATAAACCCTAGGTTTACTGAGATGGTTAATCTCACCCCATCTGGGGACTTACTTTTTAGGTACTACAATAGTAGGAGAGCTCTCATAGAGCAAGAGACCAGTTCAGGATGGCTAAAGATACTAGCTAGAGTAGAGAACTAGTGTAGCATTCTGGAGCATCACTATATACGTATATGTTTTGTTGAGCATGATATGTTATGTTCATGCATATGTACAGTATGGATTTCCATTTTGAGAGGCATATGTAGCCTATAGATAATTGTATACAGATGACATGATTATGTATAAGCGTGTATGTTGTTAAAGTAGGTTGATATCAGTAGTGGCATGGAGCCATATTCTAGTATGTATATATGGATTAGACTTTTTTGTTTATCAGGTGTTATGTATGATAGTGGGATTTGATCCCTGGATTAATTTAATTTACAGCTGTTATGCTGTCCGTAAAGACTCTATTCGAAATGGTATTTAGTATCATATTCGGATAGTGATTATATCATTAATTATGGTCACGGGTTATTAAGTATGGATTTTATACAGGTACAGGACTGTATAGATATGTTGTATTGAAAAACAAATTATGCACGACGATACGTAAAGATAAATTAAAAGGAAAAAAGTTAAGTCAGTTTGTTACTCGGTGTAACAGTGATACTTTTACGTTAAGTATTCCCTAAAATAATTAACTATGATGATTTTTGTAACCATTTGTATGTTAACAAACCGGCTGCAGACAGGGTGTTACAGCCCTCAATAGGCTGATGAGATACCTCAAAAGGTACTAAAAATTATGCTCTACACGATTATGTTTATCCTTCAGTTGTGGATGGATATTTTGATGCGTCATAGCGCTCAGAAATAGGAAACATCAAGTCAACTAGTGGATATGTATTCACTTTGGGTGGAGCTGCTATTACTTGGAAATCCAAAAGACAAACTTGTGTTGCATTGTCGTCTATGGAATCAAAACTTTTTACTTTAGCCTTAGTCGGTGAAGAAGCAGAGAAAATAAAGAATTTGAATATGGATATTCCTTTGACTCAGCCAAAGATTAATTCTTTAAGTTTGTTCTGTGATAATCAAGCAACTATCCTAGTTGTTAAAAATGCTATCTTTAATTCAAAGAGAGGACATGTGAAACTGAGACTTGCATTGTTGAATTATCTAAGAGAACAAGGAGTTATCACCTTGATCGATGTGAGATCGAAGGATAACTTGGCTGATGCTCTCACAAAAAGTATACTTAAAGATTGATTATTCAAAATAATGGGGTTAAAGACAATGTAGACGAGTCTTAATTTCCATTTACGTACTTTCTAATTGTGTATTTTGAATTATCAAATCTTTCTTTTGTTAGCTAAAATGATAAGCACAATTCATATGTTTCATCAATGTTCATGGTTGCTGATTAATTTGAAATAGGGTAAGTTGTCTCATTTCAAACATATGAAAATAACTTCATCCTAATTCAAAGGTTCTACCTAGGAAACGTGTCATTCCAAACTTGATGATACAATATTCCAACCAGGCTGGACCATCCTTTTGGTTAAATGATTTCATTCCAAACTTGATGCTAGATTATTTGACTTTGAGAAATTGGTAATTATAACATTCCACATTGAAACATTAAAATAGTTGTTTGCATAAGAAGCCTGTTGATCTTGTTCTTAATTGAAACTTGACATCATGTGATTAGATTATTGTAAGTGACTTGACTGTTGTTCCTATTCATTGAAACTAGACAATGGTTATTCTCTTACAAATAAACCTAAGTATATGGTACTTTGCAAATCAAATTGTTCAACCTTGTTCATAATTTATGAAACTGGCTTGATGCTAATGAACATGATATTATGATGTTTTATGACATTGATATATGTTCTTCTTTGTCTAATGTTATGTTCCTTTAGTAGAACTAGATATCTTTGGTAGATTATTCAACTGATTGAATTCATGATAATATGAAATTCATATTTGATATTATATAGAGGATGCAAAAATGCAGGAGAGCTTAATGAATAGGATCTTGATCAAGATGACCTGCTTGAAGAATGAATATATCATTTAGAGTGTGTAGAGACTTGACATTTCACCTGCTATTACCCATTTTGATGGAGTCCATTTATTTGAAACTTGCATTTTGCTATCTTTATTTTACGAACATGGTTGATTGTGAACGGATTTTGAGACTTATTTTGGATGCTGGGATTTGGATGAGTTTAGAAGGAATCTAAAACTCTAAATATTTATTTTGCTATGTTGATCTCAGAACAGATGCATGATAATAATGTTTATTTATTTAGATTACAAATGATTATTGAGTTTAATATCTTACTATTAAAATTCTTGACTAATCCAAGTTGATTGTCTTGGACTGGATGTGAATTATTCATACTTGTTTGAACATTACTGATGCAACTCGGCAAGTGTACCGATCGTTCAAGTAATAAAGTGATAAGTAAGTTATCGTCTCCACAGGGATTGTGAGCGAATATCTTATAAACGTCCTCTCAAGATATAAAACTCAAGTGATTTGAAGAACAATAGAAATTAAAGGCAAAGACGTATTTTTGGATTTTAAAATAAGAGAATAATGCAAAATGATTTAGGTAAAAATATGAGAGATATTGCAGGTAAGTACACTTGTCCTATGATCCCCACTTTTTACTACGGATTGATTCACAATGCTCAATTAAAATAAACAACCAAACAATTTATCATCCAAACAATTATTAGCTAAACCTCAATTCCTTGCAAATTTAGCCCTTTAATCACAATTAGAACCCCAATTCCTTGCAATGTTTCAATTGAGATCAAGATTAAATGTTTGTAATCAAGAATGCGTTTATTCCTAGCACGCATGTTAATTATTATCCTACCCCCTTTCTGGACCAAAACCCCAATTATATTCCTATCTAGGGTTTTAACCCTCAGATTATCATTCAATACTAAACTGATTAGATTTAATATAAACGATAAGCAATATGCACAGAGTAGGCATAAATCAATTAAATTAAAGAGCGAAAAGTAAACCAATCCATAAATAAAAAAAGGTTCACATAGGGTTTGTGACCCTACCCACAATGAAGGAAACTAGCCAGACATGGTCATAGCTGAATTACAATGATTCATAAAAGAAGAATAAGAATTCAAAAGGAAGAGAAAATAATCTCCAAGATCAATCTCCGCAAAAAGCTCCAGAAGTTCTTTTCAAGCTCTCTGTCCATCTCCTTTTTGTCTTCTGATTCCCCCTTTTTAATTTTGCACGCACGCGTTCAAAACACGGTGTCTTCCTGCTCGAAAACCGGCGCTGATGGCGCCTTTTTGTACTGAATTTGAATTAATCCACGCTATCAGCGCCGGTCATACTTCTTCCGCGCTGATGGCGCGGATTTTTCTCTGAAAATGCATTTATTCTGCGCTGATAGCGTCGCCCATCTGATCCAAATTTTCCTTCTGCGCAAATTCTCATTTTCCATGCTAAATTCCTATCCAAATATAAACTTGAGTGAGAAATAACATTGAAAATGAAAAACTAACAATTAATCCATAAAATGTATTGATAAGTATGCTCTTTTGACCTTAAAGCTTAGTATTTTAACTTGGAAAATCAAATATATTACAACCACATCAATTACACTAGTCACTCTATTGAATTGTTTTGTATGGTGAACAAAGGGAACAAAACTTTGGTACATCGGATATACTCAACTGGATACATCTTTTTTCCACATTTGAAAAAAAAAATTCCCAACACATTGA